GTGATGACTAGCTGCCTTCCTCTAGTCTGTCACTTCTAAATTAGGGACGGTTAGCGCAGATAACCCTCGTGTAGCTTGGTACGAAATTCAAACAAAACCTATGGTTACCTACTTGCTCTCCACCAGAAACTTGTCACCGTCCACTTTTCGACACACCCCCTTGGAGGAGATGATACCATTTTTGATATTTATAGGGTCTCGATACCCTTTCTGGAACCAGCTACCAGTCCAATGAGCCGGAAACTGACACGTAGTTCCTAAGTTAATAAAAAATACGAATCAATTAAAAAGAAAACAAACAACGAATATTTGTTCACAATATTATTTTCTTTTTAGCACTCGCATTCATTATTACTTCGTCACATCCCTTTTCCAATTAACCAGTTAAGTTATTTATAACTGGCGGTAGAAACTGGAGGTTAAAGTCATATTCAGATTAGTGGTTTTAATAATGTCTCTAAACTTTCATTCAAAATGTCCCATAAATGATGTCCATGTTTGAACTGCGTTTAATCAACATGTAATCATTAGGAATACATTTTGAAATAACGAAAATATCAACTTCCCAAATTCTGAGATGTTTTAACCAAGACAAAAATTTACTCCTGTTTATTCCATGGAATAAAGTCCCCTGATGGGTCAGTAGTAAGTTTACAGAGTTACAGACTTACAACACTAAAATCTGAGGTTCGAGTCAGAGTGCATATAAACTGTTGTTTTAGCAGTGAATACGTAGAAAAAACTACTGCTATAATTATATTAAGTAACAAGAAGTGTTGAAATGATGACGTTATTATGTGTATATGACTTGCACAGTATAGAATGTTGGCTTAACTAGTCCTTTAAAACGTATATAGCATTCTTCATGTAATATACAGCTACGCGATACAAGCCCTCTCACTAGTAACTCTAAGGCCAAATAATGGAAGTCTTTTCTCTTTCTAAATCTCAGTTCGTGGAAATGAAGAAAATTATGAACAGTCAGTTAGTTACATTCAAAAGTAACGTAAACACAATATCAACGTAAATAATGTGAAATGTTTTCTACATTTCTTATAATATCAACGTAAATAATGTGAAATGTTTTCTACATTTCTTATAGTATCAACGAAAATAATGTGAAATGTCTTCTACACTTCTTATAATATCAACGTAAATAATGTGAAATGTCTTCTATATTTCTTATAGTATCAACGAAAATAATGTGAAATGTCTTCTACACTTCTTATAATATCAACGTAAATAATGTGAAATGTCTTCTATATTTCTTATAATATCAACGTAAATAATGTGCAATGTCTTCTACACTTTATATAATATCAACGTAAATAATGTGAAATGTCTTCTACACTTCTTATAATATCAACGTAAATAATGTGAAATGTCTTCTACATTTCTTATAATATCAACGTAAATAATGTGAAATGTCTTTTATAACAAATGTGGATTTTCTTTTTTGTAAATTGTAGTTCACAACAACAACTTTAAAATATCAAATTTCAAATCTTGAATAATTCAAAAATATATAATCCATTAGCAATGAATCAGGTAACTGCAGAGGGAAGTTAGCAATGAATCAGATAACTTGACAGAGAAGCATATTCCATTGACAATGAATCAAGTAATATGTCAGGAAAATATAGTCCACTGGCAAAGAATCAGGTAACTTGACATGGAAATATTGTTCATAAATATATTATCGGGTAACTTGACAGGGAAATAATCCGTTGGCAATGTCTCGTGTTATTATGGTCTGTTAACCAATGCATGAGCTACAATTGAACCAAAATCACAAATTATTCAATTTTGATTTTAAACTCATTCATAAATAACAACAATCTACGATGTTCCTAACAGAACCAAACCTGGAGTAAATATTACTAACAGTTACCAAAATAGGAGTAACTATTACTAACAGTTACCAAAACTGGAGCAAATATTATTAACAGTTACCGAAACAGGAGTAACTATAACTAACAGTTACCAAAATAGGAGTAACTATTACTAACAGTTACCAAAACTGGAGCAAATATTATTAACAGTTACCGAAACAGGAGTAACTATTACTAACAGTTACCAAAACAGGAGTAACTATTAATAACAGTTACTAAAAAAGCAGTAGCTATTACTAACAGTTACTAAAACAGCAGTAATTAGTACTAACAGTTACTAAAACAGCAGTAACTATTACTAACAGTTACTAAAACAGCAGTAACTATTACTAACAGTTACCAAAACTGGAGTAAATATTAATAACAGTTACTAAAACAGCAGTAGCTATTACTAACAGTTACCAAAACAGCAGTGATTATTACTAACAGTTACTAAAACAGCAGTAATTAATACTAACAGTTACTAAAACAGCAGTAACTATTACTAACAGTTACTAAAACAGTAGTAACTATTACTAACAGTTACCAAAACTGGAGTAAATATGAATAACAGTTACCAAAACAGGAGTAACTATTACTAACAGTTACTAAGACAGTAGTAACTATTACTAACAGTTACTAAAACAGCAATAACTATTAATAACAGTTACCAAACAGCAGTAACTATTACTAACAGTTCTGAAAGCCTTTTATAAACATAAATAATTGGTAGTAGGAGTTATCATATTCATTTGTGTTACATAATTCTTAGCTATACTGTAAGAAAAAGAAAGATTTTCGGTGTCCTTTTCATATAATACAAAAGTACATGTACCATTATGTCTAACGGCAAATGAACTATTTTACACAAGATATTTGAAACGACTTAAAAGAAACGTGTTGTACACCAGTTTTCAGTTTCATTTTCCGTTTAGTTAGTGCCTTAAAGATTAATGTTACATACTCATTAACGTGACGTCACTGATGAAAAATGATGGAAGAATTCACTCGCCTTTAATACTTACATGCAAGCATAATTTAAAGACAATACGTTTGTTTGTTTTGAAGTTAAGCACAAAGCTACACAATGGGCTATCTGTGCTCTGCCTACCACGGGTATCGAAACCCGGTTTCTAGCGTTCTAAGTCCGCAGACATGCCGCGGTGCCACTGGAGGGTGACAATACGTCAACGGGTTTGAGAATTATGCGAGATGAAACATAAACTCAATTTCTTAATGAACCTTGTGAACTGATAATAACTTCGTCGTTCTAGAACTATTGTCTTGTTAAAAAAGTAAATGGATATATTACAGTTGCAAAAACAACAAAAACACAAGTTATATTTACTCCCAAGCTGCTAGTGACGTATTCTCAAACGTTTCTTAGCAATATTTTATGCCACAAACATGTGCGTACTGTTTCGAGTTACTGCAGTGATATCAATATTTTATGCCACAAACATATGCGTATTGTTTGGAGTTACTGCGATGATATGAATATTTTATGCCACAAACATGTGCGTATTGTTTCGAGTTACTGCAGTGATATCAATATTTTATGCCACAAACATATGCGTATTGTTTGGAGTTACTGCGATGATATCAATATTTTATGCCACAAATACATGCGTATTGTTTCGAGTTACTGCGATGATATCAATATTTTATGCCACAAACACGTGCGTATTGTTTCGAGCTACTGCGGTGATATCAATATTTTATGCTAGAAACACATGCGTATTGTTTCGAGTTACTGCGGTGATATCAATATTTGATGCTACAAACACGTGCGTATTGTTTCGAGCTACTGCGGTGACATCAATATTTTATGCTACAAACACATGCGTATTGTTTCGAGTTACTGCGGTGATATCAATATTTGATGCTACAAACACGTGCGTATTGTTTCGAGCTACTGCGGTGACATCAGTATTTTATGCTACAAACACATGCGTATTGTTTCGAGTTACTGCGGTGATATCAATATTTTATGCTATAAACACATGCGTATTGCTCGATTTACTGCGGTGGTATCAAACATACTCTAAAACCGGACTTTACATGCTAGAGTTTTGATTCACGTGTATGACATTTCAATTATTATATAGTGAAGTTTTTGACATTTTGCGAGTATCAATATGTTTAGTTCTATGTAATCCTTCAAAGAAATGTTGATTCTATAAAATCCTATAGAACGAATAATTCCCATATCACTGGTTCATGACCTTGTTTGTCATAGTATCTGCCCCATATCACTAGTTCATGACCTTCTTTGTCATATTGTCTGCCCCATATCACTGGTTCATGACCTTGTTTGCCATACTGTCTGCCCAATGTCATAAACTCAGGATACAATGAACAATAAAAGAGAGAAAAAAAGATGTCTGATAAGAGAAATATGACATTTACGAAAAATACGTTAAAATAAAATATACTTACCACTTAATGATAACCTTGCCCTTTTTTGATATCACGTAATTTATCCGAACGTAGAATGATGCACTATTCTTATTATATCTCATATTTTACAACCTGCAACGTATATATCGTTTTAAATTATATCATATTGTTTATTTCATTGCAGTAGCTTACGAATGTCACGTATGTCTCTATGACGATACTTTTCAAGTTCCACGTTGGGAAATAATGTCATCTACGTGGTGTAAACGACTCTTTGGTAAATTATAGAGAATAATTAGTGTTTTAAATTGTCCAGAATAACCAAAAGTTCCAAATAGGTGAGTTAATAAACAGTTGCATTTAATGTAAATCACTTTGTTTGTTCAAAATGTAAATTGGCTCTTGCATTATATATATATATGTACTAATACTAAAATACATACAACTCGTATGTCGGCGCAACGCCCTTAGATTACACCAAAATTTAATGACTGTAATCTGGTGTTTAAACTTTCGCATTTCTCTTAAAATGGACAACAGGATAAAAGTTTTCATAAACTCTTCGCATTGTTCCTAAAGTGAACAGCAGGATGAGAGTATTTCATAAAATCTTGCATTGTTGTTAAAGTGAACAGCAGGATGAGTGTATTCCATAAAATCTTGCATTGTTGTTAAAGTGAACAGCAGGATGAGTGTATTCCATAAAATATTGCATTGTTGTTAAAGTGGACAGC